AGTAAACCTGAAATCAGTCTCTCACGAATAACATGGCAATCAACTTCTATATGCTTTGTTCGTTCATGGAAAACTGGGTTTTCTGCTATGTGTATAGCAGATTGGTTGTCACAAAACACTTTGACTGGTTGCTGATGTTCAATCCCATAAAACCTTAGAAGTGATTTCAGCCATTGAACTTCACATGAGAGCTGTGCTAAAGCTCTGTATTCTGCCTCTGAAGAGGATCTCGAGACAGTGTTCTGCTTCTTGCTTTTCCACGAAGCTAAAGAATCTCCTAGGAAAGTGCAGTACCCAGTTATTGACTTCCTAGTGTCAGGGCAAGTGGCCCAATCAGAATCACAATAACCCCTCAATTCAAGATTAGATGAGGATGAAAACCACAAACCCTGACTTGGACAACCTTTCAAGTACCTTAGAATCCTGTGCAGAGCCTTCATGTGAGTAGTTGTATGTTTGTCCTGAAACTGGCAGAGCTGTTGAACTGGAAATGTGATGTCTGGTCTTGTTGAAGTAAGGTACTGGAGCTGTCCTAGCAGATGCCTGTAATGTGATCCATCTTCTAAGGGAACTCCATCTGCTGCTGAATGGACAGTCTTCATACTTAAGGGTGTTTTTGCAGGTTTGCTTTCCAGAAAATCAGAGTTTGCCAATAGTTCTAAGCAGAACTTTCTTTGGTTCAAAGAAATTCCTTCACTGGATCTAGCAACTTCCAAACCCAGGAAATATCTCATGTTGCCTAGATCCTTCACTTTAAATCCCTTCTTCAATTCTTGCTTTACATGCTCAATTTCACTCAAAACAGGTCCAGCCAACAGTATGTCATCTACATACACAATCAGCACAACTGAAAGTGTCTTGAAAACTGAATAATCATCAAGGGATTGCTCAAATCCCATGTTCTTCAAATACTCTGACAGCTTGATGAACCACTGCCTTCTGGCTTGTTTAAGTCCATAAAGGGACTTGTTGAGTTTCAGAACCTTACCTTCAAGGTGACTTAGATGTTTTAAACCATCTGGTACCTCTATGTAAACCTCCTCCTCTAAGTCACCATGGAGGAAGACATTGCTTTCATCCATCTGATGTAAGTGCCAACCCTTAATTGCAGCAACAACTAGAAGCATTTTCACTGAATTGAGTTTAGCAACAGGAGAAAAAGTGTGAATAAAATCAACAACATAAGTCTGTGTGTATCCTTTAGCTACCAAACGAGCTTTGCTTCTCTCTATCACCCCATCAGGTAGAAACTTTGTCTTAAACACCCATTTGTTCCCTACAATTTGATGGTTTACAGGAGGATCAACAGGAGTCCAGGTGTTATTTGCTTCTAAAGCACCCAACTCCTCTATAATGGCTCTATTCCAACGATCTTCCTTAATGGCCTGAGAGTAGGTTTGAGGATCAGGTTGTAGTGAAATGGAAAGGGTGTAGTGTTTGTGGTTAGAAGATAGGGTGTTGTAGTTGAGAGAATGAGAAAGAGGGTAAGACATCCTGGCATCATAAGAACCAGGTGTGCCAGTGGTAAGAAAAGATGTATGAAAGTCCTGCAGATAAGCAGGCTGCCTAGAAACTCTTGGAACTCTCCTCAGAGCAATAGGTAAAGAGTCATGTGGTGTTGAAGTAGAAGGGGATGAAGAAGAAGAGGATGGAATAGAAGAAGAAGGTGTAAATGGTGAAACAGGAGTTTGAGCCATTGGTGTAGAAGGAGGTGATGTAGGTGGAGTAGAGTCTGTGTCTGTAGGAAAGTAAGATGGGTCTGTAGTTTCATGGTGATTATGATCAGGAGGAAGAATGGGAGAAGCAGGTAGAGAAGTGGAAGAAGAAGGTGAGGAAGAATCCCTACTCTCAGGTGTCTTAAATGGGAATGCATCCTCAACAAACTGCACATCTCTACTGACAAAGTTAGAATGAGTCTCTAGATCATACAACTTAAACCCTTTTATCCCAAAGGGATATCCTACAAACACAGCCCTCTTGGCCCTTTCTGCAAATTTCTTCTTATGTTCATCCAAAACAGTAGCATAGGCAAGACAACCAAAAATTCTCAAAGAACTGTAGTCAGGTGGTATCCCATATAAGCATTCAAATGGTGTTTTGTTTCCTAACACAGGTGTAGGAGTTCTATTGATTATGTATGCAGAATGCAAGACCAGATAGCTCCAGAAGCTGGTAGGGACTCCAGATTCAAATTTGAGTGCCCTAGAAACATTCAAAATATGCTAGTGCTTGCGTTCTACTCTGCCATTCTGCTGTGTTGTCTTAACACAGCTCATCTCATGTAAAATCCCATGCTCATGATAAAAATCTGGCATGTTAAACTCCTGCCCCTGATCAGACCTAATCACCTTCACAGTTTTATCAAACTGAGTTTTTACCATGCTACAGAAAGACTGAACCAAACCTCTTGCTTTAGACTTAAAACTCATCAAAAACAGCCATACACATCTGCTATGATCATCCACCACAGTGAGAAAGTATTTAAAACCATCACAAGACACTACATCAACTGGTCCCCAAATGTCAATATGGACCAAATCAAATGGTTCCTTTGAAGTAGAAATACTCCTATTAAAAGGCAATCTTTTCTGTTTAGCCAAGTGGCAAACCTCACAATCACTCAATTCTGTAGCTACTACATCACTACTTTGTTTGGTAATCTCTTGCAATCTTGGAAAAGAAAGATGTCCCAGCCTGGCATGCCACAACTTTGAGCTCTCACTGGTGGTCACTCCAAGGAAATGTGGTTTGAAATTCTCTCTAGGTGCAACAGACTCCCCAAGCAAGTAAAGCCCTCTATTTACGTGGATTAAACCAATCCTCTGTCGAGAGATTAGGTCCTAGATACAACAAGAATTGGATTCAAAGTGTAGTGAGATTGGGCTGTTGCTAGTTAGCTGACTGATGGAAATCAGGTTATAGCTAAAGGATGGGACTAAAAGAACATTTGTAAGAAACAGATCACAAGGCAGCTTGACTATGCCGGTATGAGTCACCTTTGCCAGTTGCCCATTTGGAAGGGTAACTGACATATTCTTAACCTCTCTACATCTAAGGAAGAAATGCATAGAACACACAATGTGGTCACAAGCACCAGTGTCAAGTACCCATACATCATTACTTTTTGATGTTGTATAGGTGGAAAGAATAGTAATACCTGACATGGTTTGCCCCTTAGATGTAATAGAGTTCACCGAGGAAGAGGGTGATTGATGTTGGGGACTCTGAAGTAAGGCCTTCAGGCGATAAAGTTCTTCTGTAGTGAAACGAGAAAAATGCTAAGGACTGTCTGGATTGCTACTTGGACTGTTGGGAGAAAAGTTGCCTCCTCCTGAAGGTGTCTTCTCAGCAGGATTAACATCCACTGAGCCTGCAAAACCTCTATGGTTTCCTCCTCATTCTTTGTTCTTTCTTTTAAGCTTCCAGCAGTCCTGGATAACATGGTTATCCTTCTTGTAGTATCTGCAAAAAAGTCCTCCTCCTCCAGTTTGTTCTTCCTTCAACCCTTTATCCTTAGCATGTGAGTTGTAAGGAACCCTAGAAGCAGCCAGGGCGGTTGCAAGAGCAATAGTTTCCTAAGATTTTCCAGTGTTAGCACTGGCTCCATTTAACTGTCTCTCCAGTTTAATCACAGAACGATAAATGCTATTAAGATCTGGAAGGGGATCAAGCATCAACATCTGGGTTTTCACCTGCTGGTATTTCTCATTAAGACCCAGTAAAAACAAGATAACCTTGTCTCGATCCTTATACATCATAACAGTTTCATAAGTTCTGGAGGCACAATCACAGTATGGAATAGGTAAATAACAATCACGCTCATCCCATAGCAACTTCAAATCAGTATAGTATTGTCTAATAGACAGATCCCCTTTCTTGGTTAGGTCAACCTTCTCCTGCAGATTTGCAATTCTTACAGAATCGCCTTGACTGAACTTGGACTTGAGGTATTTCCAATCCTCAAAAGCTGTTTTGATGTTCCTGAGACTAGGAACAATGTCCTCTGCAACAGAGTTTCTAATCCAACACACAACCGTGCCATTAACCCTATCCCAAGTGCCATAAGAGGGATCAGTGACATCTGGTACCTGAATCGAACCTAGGATGAAACCCAGCTTGTTCTTGGTGCGGAGTGCGACCTCCATAGACTCACTCCAGAGAAGATAGTTGTCGTCGTTGAGCTTGAAACTGATCACTGGCAACGACGAGTTGTCACTTGGAGCCAGGTAGAACGGATTGCTGTAAGGATCTTCGTAACTAGAAGGAGGAACATCTTCCCTCTCGCCTTCAGGTCGTTCTGAGCTGCTGCTGTCTTCCTTTCCAGACATTGTGAAAGATCAGCAGGGTTTCGACGGTGAAATGAGAAGAAGAGAAATGGGTTTTGTGTAACGAAAGCGAAATCAGGTAATCAGTAGCCAACCAGGCTCTGATACCATGTGAAAGTTTTAACCTAGTAGTCAAGAACACTAGGGTTTACAAGAAGATAAGAGCAGCCGCTGTGTGGAATCGGCAGAATGCCATCTTCCTCTGTAGGATTTCATATATATATATATATATATGGTGGCTTCTATGGTACCCCGGGTGAAATCCGGGGTAACGCATACCTCGAGTATGGAAACTCTATCTAGACCTCGAATTACCAGGATTTTTGTGTCTGATATTATACCCTAACCCTTAATGAGTGAACCTTAGGTCATAATTATCTAAATCATAATCTATAAACCCTAAGATGGTGCATTCCTTTTTGTGCCTATATTTGGATGAATCATAACCGTCGATTATTATTTCTAATTAAATTGATCTTGGAGTATAAGATTGGGAGAGTTAACACCTAGATTTTGATCTTTAAGTGTTAGAGTATAGTATCATGTCCGAAAGATCGGTTAATTCAAGGTCTAGATAGTGTTTTCATACTCAAGGTATGCGGTACCTCGGATTTCACCCAGGGTACCATAGAACTCGCCATATATATATATATCACTGGTCACTGTACATTAACGGTAAAGAGCAATGTTTAATTAAACTAACCAATAGAAAAGTGCCAAGTGGCTAAAGCTGAGTTTAAACGCTAACTAATTACAATCTGCCAATACTGCGTCGTTCTGCTTTGTGGAGTGTCTACCACTTAAGGAAAACAACGCCGCTTCAAGGTCACCATCTGTGTACTGAGCAGAGTGAAAGGAAGCTCTGCTCATCTTCATCTGTTCTTCATTCTACAACATCTCGGAAGACCTGCAGCAGTGGGTGATCATGGTAACCTCGTTCACACTTTATCCGATCTGCAGTTTGCACTCTCCCTGGCATGCTTTAGCAGCTCGTAAGCCTTCTTTGCTGGTAGCGGGTAGTCAATTTTGTGGATCCAGGTGGCATTGGATTTGGTGGATTGAATCTCGCTGATCTTGTCGGAGTCATCCTCTAGAAACAGAGTGTTGCCCCCTGCATTGAGGGATGACAGCTTCAGGTGCTGTTTTCCGAGGCCGAAAATCAGCAGGTTGCAGGTAGCTCTGCTCTTGATGAGGCTGGTTAGGAGCTTGAGTTTCTTGTTGGAGAGGCGTGTGGCGACCGGTCCGGTCGTTGGGTTTGGTGGAGGCAGAGGGAGCAATGGAGGGGCAACAGTAGTAGAAGAAGAAGTGGTGGTGGTAATTGCGATCCTGAGGAGCCTAAAGATGGAGAAGCTGGAGAGGAGAAAGACGAGGAGGGGAATGAGCTTTATGGCGGGGAACTTCATGCTGGTGATTTTGTATATTTTTCAATCCTCTGTTCCCCTCTCCCATATCCATTCGTGTCCGCCGACGGCGACCAATGGAAGCCGGAGCAAAATCCGCCACGCCAGAGAAGAAAGGGGATCGAACCCATGAAGTGGTGCTCCAATTCACTTTTTTTTTTGTTTTAATCATTTTTTAATTTATTGTAATAATGAGCTGAAAATTATTAAAAATTAAATTTTATTATTTTATTATTTTATAGTTGCCACGTCACTCATTTAACGGTCAACTATAAGAGTTGACCGCCACATAAGCAAAAGTTAACGGAGACTAACGGCCAGTGACCAAACTTGAACTGTTAACCTAATTTAAGTGACTATCGATGAAATAAAATAATTCTAATGACTAACGTGAAATTTACTAGTAATTCAAGTGACCAACCTTACAATTTAGCCCATTTTTAATATTAGATTAGCACAACCAAAGGCACCGAATGACGAACCTGTGAGCTTGGGAAACGATGAGAAGAGAATGACAAATGAATCGAAAGCAAGAAAATAACATAACCTATGGGGTTTTTTGCCCCCTAAGATCCAAACATCTACAGTTAAGGAGTAGTCAATTAGAAGCTAAAGCAGTTAATTAACAACAATAATGATGTCGCTAAAAATGTTTATTTAAGGTAAACAAGGGACGTGGCGCCGTGGGCAGGCGACACGTACTTAGGATTGCCTCGGCCTGGCCTCTACGCGCCGGCCACCGCCCGCACGAGGCGAAAAGGAGGAGAATCGGCCTCTTGGCTTGGCCCATAAGTAACGCAAGAGGCCACATAATTTTATAATTTATATATGTTTTTTCTTGGTAGAAATTTATATATGTTTTTTTAAATGAAAGTAAAGGGCTAAAGGCCAAATGATGATAATAATATGCATTTTACAATAGGTGGTAAATAAGAAAGAAATTGACGATAATAATATATGTTTTGTCTTCGAAATTATCATTATTGAGTTGTTGTTTTTTTTATTAAGAGTTTTATTTTCACTCATGTTAATAAAGGTTACTTACAATTTAACGATCACACATTTCTACTATATGATGTACGAGAAAACGATAAAACGCATTGTTACAAACTAAATGTGTATGGTAACCAGTGTTATTAAAGCAGAGTCGAGCTGCTCGACCCGACCGATAAAACTGTCACTCGGTCATAAAATCGGCTCGGAACGGTCTAAAATTCGCTGCGATTTTATGTTGCAGTTGACCAGCGGCCGAGGCGATTAACCGCTCTAGTGGCTCGTCTGGTTTTTGCCATTCAGCCGTTAAATTTAATTAAAAAATTGCAGAAAATTGAAATAAACCAAAAACATCAGGCTCTCAAACTGAATCCTTATTTCCATTTCACAATTTCGAAGGAAAGAGACGAGCTATGATTAATAAATGTCCACTATTTATACTGATAACGTTTATTAGGTACCGGTTCTCTAACTATTTTTAAACGATCTAATGTCGGTTAGACCACTAAAGTGCGAGCCGTTCGCATTACCGGGTCATGCTCTGACTCGGTTTTGACAACATTTATCGTAACTTTAAAAAATTAAATTAAAAAAATGGCAGAATTCGTCAACCATCTATCTAGCAACCGTACATTTCCCAAAATGGAAGTTATGAAACACGTATAGACGTGTCAGCTGACCCATGTGGCATGGGGATTTCTCATTATGAAAAACATAATTATTAAATCAAATACACAACGGTGTTATGGATTAACATTTTTCTAAAGGGAAGTTTGAGTCCAAATTAAGTTTTAACATGCTCACATATATTTATATATCCAACCATTTTCATCATCAGATAGCTGCCAAAGTGCTAATTGTATGCTTCGACGACGATTACAGCAATATATATTTCCCCAATGGAGAATATGCTTTCCTTTTATATAGTGTATTCATCTTTTAGTGTTAATCCGATCCCTCGACCACGTTTCATATTTAGTGTATAGTTAGTTGACACATGCACTTAGTAACACTAACAAATGATTTCAACTGATGACCAGTAACTTGTGTTCTAAACATATACAGAGTTTTTCTTGGATATAATTATTATATATAGTGTTACTCATTCAAGATTTGGATCCAATCTTAATAATAAGATCTCTTGTTTTCTTACAATATAAATGAATAGAAATATCATAATTCATGTGTTTGTCTACCTTTGTCCCGATAGAGTAATGCGAATTGACGATTTGTTTTCATAGCAACTATCAAAATTTATAGAGATTTTTTTTTTCCAGAATGTCTGGGTCTTGCTATTGATATCCTATATTATGCACAAAAGTCTTTTGTTAAGGATAAGTTCGGTTTTAGTAAGCTTGAGTTGTTAAGAATAAGTTCGGTTTTGTACATGAATGTCACACCTCTAGTTTATATAAACTATTATATTGAAGTGGATGAAGATTTGAATACAAATAGTTAAAAATGACAACGATCGAGTACTAGTGACCCACACGTAAAAATTGGTGTCTTATCCTATCAGTGATTCGGGGCACGACCGGTCACATTCTAACACCAATTGAGGTTTATTGAATTTGAATTGCCATCACTAAATATAAAGAATCTCAATTATAAGTTTTGATATCATGTCAATAACAAAAGCGAGTCACTAGTATAGACTCCAATTAATTACGGTAAAGCAAGCGATTATGGAGCATTGGCGTTTGATTAGGCGCTTGGATCTAACCCGATTCCCGGTTTCCAGCTTAGTCCCAAAAAATGTCTGTCGTCGGTCTAATTACAAATTATTTATTATTTTATACACAAAATAATATAATTACAATTTATTAAGAGATTCGGAAAAATTAAATAAAAAAATACTAGTGAGTGCTGTATTATTATTATACCTATCAGTCTCTCTGAATTTATAAATAGTGGATGCTTTTTGTCGTTTTTCTATACTACCATTGAAAAATAAAGGCGGGGACTACCATTACTACCAGTATCCAATCGCAATCCGACAACGAAGAAGGAAACAATACGAAATAGAAAGGAGGATTCCGCATGTAACGCGCCATCTAATCGCGCGTGTATTCACTAACCATATTATTATTGTCATTAAATTAATCTCTGTCCCCTGAAAATATCTAACCGCAGCCCAAGCGCACTTTGACGTGTACCCAAAAGATGATAAAAGCGAAGCCCAGTGGGCCCCCACAGTCTTCCCCCCTCTTATTATCTCCCCCGTGAAAAATATCACAACCGTCTAGATCTCTGACACGTTACCCCCAGCAAAATGTTACGGCCCCCGTTTATATATTACGGGACGGTGAATCCATTTCGTTGAAAACGGGACGGGGAAGGAAAATAAAAAAGGCCAAAAGGGCATTCAGCCAGCGCTCGTGCACCTCGTCTCACTCATCTAAATCTTCTCTCCCTCTCTTCCCTCCTCCGCCGCTGAAAGAGGAAAACACAAAAGAAAAACAGAGCAACAAGCCGCCGCCGGCGGAAGCTCGGGTAGACGTTTTATGGGATGGAAGGGAAAGACGGTGAAAACAACAACATCATCGCGCCGTTCGTTATGAAGACTTACCAGATGGTCAACGACCCATCGACGGACGGACTCATCTCCTGGGGGAAAGCCAACAACAGCTTCATCGTCGTCGAGCCTCTCGATTTCTCCCAGCGCATCCTTCCCGTTTACTTTAAGCACAACAACTTCTCCAGCTTCGTCCGCCAGCTCAACACCTACGTATGCCCCCCCAAATTGAATCACACCCAACGAATTGAATTGAATTGAATCGAATCGTATTGGAATTAGAATTTATTGAATTCCTCTGTTTTTTTAGGGATTCAGGAAAGTGGATCCGGACAAGTGGGAGTTCGCCAGCGAGTGGTTTCTTCGGGGCCAGAAGCAATTGCTGAAAAACATAGCGAGGCGGAAACAATGCAAAGGGTCGTCGAGATCGATCGAGGATTTCATCACGGAAGGGAACGCGGAGATGGCGATGGAGATTGGGAGGCTAAAGCAGGAACAGAGGGCGATGGAGAAGCAGCTGGAGGGGATGAGCAAGCGATTGGAGGCCACCGAGCGGCGGCCGCAGCAGATGATGGCGTTCCTCTACAAGGTTGTGGATGACCCGGACCTCCTCCCGCGGATGATGCTGCAGAAGGCCGGGAGTAACCGGCGGCTGCAGCGGCGGCTAGTAGTGGCGGACAACAAGAAGGCTCGGCTCGACATTTCGTCGAACAACTCGTCGTCGTCTTCGTCGGGCGGGCTGTCGGTGAAGTCAGAGGAGGAAGTGGAAGGTGGGGGTTTTGGTGGGTTCGTGTCGTCGTCTCCAGAGAACGGGTTCGACGGCAGGGTGGAGTATTCGCCGTCTCCGTCGCCGGAGCCGGTGAGTGGTTCCGGGTGGTGTATCGGGGAGGTGAGCTACCGGCGGTCGGTCGGTGGTGGGGGGAGTGGGGTTACGGTGGGGACGGCTAGTAGGTTGGGTGGATATGGAGGCGGCGGGGGAGGAGGTGGGGAAGTTAGTTATTTCGGAGGAATGGCGGCGGCGGGGGTGGTGGAATCCAGACCACCACCGCCTCCGTCTTATCCGTTCTCCCTTTTAGGTGGTGAGTTTTAGATGCTATGTTTTATTATTCTCCAATTTTTTTTTTCTTTCTTGCTACTTCATTTCATAGTTTTTTGCTCTAATTATGTTGATGATAATTAGGGTTAGGATATTGGATGTCGTATAACTTCTGTATGTGGGTTTTTCTTTCTTTCTCCATGGTAGATTGGAAATAAGTAAAATCACATTCCTACTAATGTTTGGATCTCGTGAAGATAAAATATTATAAATTAATCTAAATGGAGAAGATATGAAATATAGAGTTACTACAAGTCAGGATTACAAATCGATATCGAGATAAAGATGAATCGTAGCCCTAGCTCATGACAATGTTAAGCATCATATGTAACATTTGCATATGAGTAGCAGTTTGGTCAACTTCTAGGCATATAGATGATGAAACTTGGGTGTTGGTTATTCTGCGGAATTGATAATTTTCATCCACTAGCGAGACTTTCTCAATACGAGAATGATTGTCCGACTAACAAGTAATTTTGTTCGAAGAAGATACAAGATAAAATGGGGAATTCGTGTTAGACCGTAATATCGAAAACAACACAAACAATGGTATTGTCATGAACAAGTTTATTTCAATAACTCGAATTGTTGAAAGAGATTCAATAATTAATCTTATACCACATAATGACACGCCCCCAACGAGGACAACTTATAAGAGCCTGAATTTTGCACAAGTTCGATAGCCTGTGCTAATGAAGGTCGGGAGGTTTAGGACATAAGACTTCTAGGTCACAGAAACCTCTGATACCATATTGAGATTCAATTATGGATCATATACCATCGATCGGTATTGTTACCCATCATTGAACAGTCTCTTTCCCGGGATGAATAGTGAATAGGATGAAGTTAAGGGTTAATGGGTTATTACTTCACTGACGAATGGGGGCATGACAGCTGGAGAATGGCGACTGTACAGATCGGCAAGAACCCTACACACACGGCCCATGAAGCAAAGGACGGGACATTGTCGTCATCGTCTAGCCCTACCGCAATCCGCAAGTGGTAATCCAAGTACCAGTGCGACAGCCACAGAACAACAGCGTCTAATTAACCGCCCCAAGATGGAAATGAAACAGATTGAGAGAACACAGAAAGGTCGGTATCCTCCCTTTTGGCTCTTATCGAAGTCTGACCACCGGCCGGTCGAATACTCCTAGAGCCATGCAGCAGCAGGGCTCCACTCAACTGAGAAAAGTACAAAGATCATAGGGTTTCTGTCTGCAAGTTTTTTTGGAACGCCAAAACGTATTGTTTAGGGATTCACAGTGAGTTATGTATCGAGAATGTGGTGATAGATTAAAGCCAGAACTAATTGTCGTCTAGATATAATTAGGCGAAACTAGACAGTCAATATCAAAGGAATCGTGATATTATCATAATCTTCAAACTCAACCTCATATCTCAATGTTTTCAACAGGTCAAGAACTTTGTAAGCTACGATTCTATAAACTTGTAAGTTATTCACCATTTGAATGGGCAATTATCATAAATGGTCACAAAACTATTCACTTTGTACAAAATGGTAACAAATCTTTAATTTTGCACGTTTCAGTAACATATGTTTGTACTAATAACAAAAAAGTCAATCCGTCTCCTTCCATCCAAAAATCCGTTACTTTTACCCAATCAGCCTGACACGTCATTAAAAAATTAATAAAAAAATCACATAATAATAAGAATTAACCCGCACAACCCTAACCGGTTCACTTGCTCATACCCACCCGACCGTACGCTAATACCCACCCTCTCTCGTACTCTTCATCCCTCCGACCGCCGTGCTTTCTCTTTCTCCCCGTCCCAATCGTCGGGTCGCCGTTGCACTAATTCCTTACACTGCGTTCCAACTTGACAACTTCCAATCGAGCATCCCTCTCCTCCCGACGCCCTCGGCCTCTTCTCTCCTTCCCTGCCGTCATTACTTTGTCGTCGTTTCGTGCCTCCCCATCTCGAGGGTTCTGTTTTCCCGCCCTTTGGCAGCGCCAGCTCTCTCTGGAAGAAGGGCAGTTTGAACGATAAAAGCTGAACCAGGTCTATATCACCAATTCTAATCTTCGGAACTCTTGCTTTGAGATGCAAGATCTCGTTCAAGGCGCCGCTCAGCCCCAAGGCCACCCGGGAGAAAGCCGCAGTGGTCCACGATGGCGGCGATGACGGCCATCTGATAGAGGTCGTTCTGTGTCATTACGGGGAACTGAGCGAGTTGAGCGTCGGGTCGGTGGCGGAGAAGGAGAGCAGCCAAACTTGGAGCTCGTTCGCGATTAATGACAGCACGGAGCTGTGGCCCGATTACGGCCACCGTCTTGCTCTCCATCAACCTTAATACCGCAATCAAATTAGGGATTAGGAGACTTTAATCAACAAATGGTCAAATAAAAAAATGTTGATCGAGATTGGGATTAAGAATGGCATTACCTTCGACGGTGCCAAGGAGCTTGATTTGGGGGAGAACAGATGGGTTGGAGCTGATGGCGGCCTGAATTGCGATTGGGAATGGGAGAGAGAGAGACCACGGCGGTCGGAGGGAGGAAGGGTACGAGATAGGATGGGTGGGTATTAGGCTATTAGGGTTCTGTGGGTGGGTCTAAAGCTAGTGAACCGGTTAGAGTTAGTTCGGATTATTAAATGATTTTTTATTAATTCTTTTAATGACGGGTCATGCTGATGTGGCAAAAGTAACGGATATTTGGATGGAATGGGATGGATTGACCTTTTTGTTATTTACTCAAACTTGTTTTACTGAAACGTGCAAAATTAAAAATTTGTGACCATTTTGTACAAAGTGAATAGGTTTGTGACCATTTATGATAATTACCCCCATTTGAATTGAAGTGGGGAAGTATTGTCAATTGTTATTTCATTCATAATTCAGTGCGAATTACTATTTTTGTTTTAGACTCTAGACATAGATGACAACTAGACGAGCTAGGTGTTAGGCAAGACTCCAACCCCTACTTTATGCATAGCGCCTTATTGAACCTTGATGGAAATGATATAATGCACATATTGTTTTCTTCCATAAATAACTTTAGAACATATAAGTAGTCTAGATATACCAATTATTCTCAAAAATGTTTTTGTCAATCGAGATACATTAGTTATTGACATTGTATTGTATCACATCCTTCATTCGGGAAGTCCTGTACTCAAGTCTCCACTACCTTTCAATATACACAGTTGACTTAACTCTTAAGTATAGGGTATTATAAATTTGTGCAAACTTCAGTCTCGTTAATTACTTGTCTTTCGATCGAGAGGTTGATTGTACAATATTCACAATACTCATGTATCTCTCTAACTATGAATTAGAATGAGTCGATTGTCCCGCAATGAGCTACGAGATAGTGTGCGACAAGTACTTGTGAATTGTGAAACGTTTATCTATTATAATAGGTTAGTTTTTGTAGTTTTTTAGAAGTAGCTTCTGGTTTGAACTTTTAGAAAATTACTTTTCCAAAAAAGTGGTTGAGTGTTTGGATGAAAACGACTAAATTACACGTCTGGCCACTCAAATTATACAAGTATTTCACGTTTGCCACCCAAATTACTTTTCTTTCTTACTCGCCACTAACTTTACCAATAATTTCACCGTTAGTCACCGGCCGTTACACTCCGTTACACTCCGTTAAATTTTTCCTACATGGCAGTCAACTATAAAGTTTGACGTTAACTAGATGACGTGGAAATTAAAAAAAATATTATTTTTTTTTCTTCGTTGAATCAGTTCCCCTCTTTATTAATATGAAAAGAAAAACCAATACAACGAGGCAAAGCAGTAACGCTTTGAGTAATGTCAAAAACCCTGCTCACTCCTACTCAACTTGTAACTGCTCACTCAGCTACTCAAAAACAAGCAACAAGCAAAGAAAAATCAAAGATATCCCAACCTCAAGATCCCCCTGCAGCATGGCATTCCTAACCACCAGGTATCGCAGATCCGCTTGCAGCTGGGTAGCAACCTTTTCTGGGTCTGGCAGAGCACCACCATGTACAACTCTGCAACGCTCACGCCAAATGCATGTCAACACCATACACCACACAACCCCATGCGATCGCAATTTCCCTGAGGGCTAAACCAAAGAGCAGACAGCAGCCATCATTGCGTCCCAGCCTCCTGCTTCAAACAATCGACAGTGCAAATTCAAGACAAGCATATGAGCAAAAGAGCAATGCATAAACAGGTGCTCTCTCGTTTCCATCGGGAAAGTAAACAATAGGCAAGAGGCAATAGTTATCTTCCTCCAGCTCAGAAGTTTGTCCCTCGTCACTATTGCATTTCTTATAATAAGCCAAGCAATGAAGCTATAGCGAAGAGGACATAACCTATTCCAGACGAGCTTAAACCACGGTACCTCTGGCTGCTTGGCACGCAAGGAATCCCAGACTAATCGAACAGAGTACACCTTCATTAGTTTCATTCCCCAGTAAACCTCACTATTTTTCTGCTGTATCCATGGCCTGATCTGATCCCTGATTTTGAGCAGCCTCCTCCATATCCAGGAGCTGCTGTACTGTGGCTTCATCGACCATAAATCTAACTGCTTGCATTTATACTCGTACATCCATGCAACCCAAAGAGTCCCTGAATTTATGAGAAACAGCCACAACATCCTAGCAGAGCTAGCTATGTTCCATGCCTGGAGATCCTTTATCCCCAACCCCCCTTCTTTCTTTGGATAGGCTAGCTTTTCCCAGGCTACTTTGGCTCTACCCTCTTCACTACCATGCCATAAAAACTGAGAACAGACTTTCTGTACTTGTTTCAAAATCTTTTTAGGAAGAACAAATAACTGCATCCAAAACTGTACTATCCCCATCAGAACAGAATTCAATAGCTGCTGTAGACACCACATTTTGTCCGGGATAATGGTTTTATTGAAAATAATTATTCTAACATCGTACTACGATTATATTTAAAAGGGAAGTTGAAGATAGTTTGGTTGAGACTAGCAGTTGCAAGTCAATATGAACCAACAATTATCAAATTTGCTCCTAGTCGATTCTAGGGCATAGTTAGTTAAGATAGGATCAGTTTAAGGTAAGATTAGCAGTGGCGAATCTTAAATATAAATTCTCATTTAGAAGGGAGAAATGACTATAGTGCAAATTTGGTTGCTCGAGTTTGGATTTGGTATTGGTAATGGAACAAATTGAATGGCGGAATGAGCTTTATTATCAAAATTTCAAAGTTGATACATCGTACAACTAGGGTACTCTAAGTAAAGCAAG